AAACATAACCGCCATATAACCCCACTGGGTTTCCAAGGCTGTAAACCTTTATGGAAGCAGAATGCCTCACCTTTCTTCTGTGGAGTGGCTGGTGAGTTCAAATCACCAACCTTTTGGTTAGCAGTCAAATGCCTTAACCATTACACCAACAGAACTCCTTTTATTCCACTTAAGGAAGTCTAGATTAGAGTTCTGTCACTTACAGCAATGTATTAATTAACGTAAGTTGCATTTTTGACATATGAAATCTGATGTGAGAGAAGGAAATCCAAATAGGGTGCCTAGGAAAACAGCCAGTGAGATGGCACTGCATTCAGGTGGATGATCAAATTGCCAAGTCAGCCACAAAGAGGAAACGGAGGAGAAGCTGCAAAAATAAATTAGCCCCACATGTGAGTTAAATATTTACCTCAAGTAGACACACGCCCTGGAGAGAACAATCATGGGAGAAGGAAGGGCTGCTTATGCACAGGGAGATAGCTCAGGGTGCAGAAGAGGATGAAGGGATGGACACTGGGAGGAGGTAACTATGGGGAGGAAGTGGGAGGGGAGCTGCTGCATTGTAAATTTTGGTCAATGACATGAGACAAAGTATATGTGAACTGCTGTATGAAAAGTGAATTTACTCTGTAAATCTTCACCCAAATCCTAATAAATAAATAAATAAATGAGCCCCAAAGGTCCATACAACACAAAGAATGAACCCTGATGTAAACTATGGACTTTCGCTAATAATAATTTATCAGTATTGGTTCATTAATTATAACAAATGTACCACAGGAGTGAAAGACGTTAATAATAGGGGAAACTGTGTGTGTGGGGGGGAGTGGGATATGGGAACTCTGTACTTTCTGCTCCATTTCTCTAAAAACCATAATCCACTCTGAAACATAAAGTCTTAAAAAATAAAAATAAATGAACACTCCAAAGTAAAGAATAGAGAAAACAAAACTGGGTGTTTGGAGGACTCCTTCTCAAGAATTTGAGAGATGAAAGAAAGTGACAAAGTAGAGAGGAACACAGACTCAAAAGGCAGAACAGCCGGGACCATGAAAGAAAGTGATTGGGGCATTATCTTGGTTCTCTACTGCTGCTCTGGGATCTGAAGAATGAAGGTAAGAAATACCACAAGTGGATGGCTTTAACAAATAGGGATTTATTCTCTTATAGTTTAGGAGGCTAGAAGTCTCAGTTCAAAGTGGGTGAAGGTCCCTGTCCTTGAGCTTCAGTTTTGCTTCCTGTTCCAGGCCCACTAGAGTTGGAGGCTTTTTCTGACTTACACGTGTGAGTCAGAAAAAGCTGCTGAGGGTGATGAACCCGAGGTTGGCAAGTAGGGTGGCACAATCCCAAGATCAACAGGCACATGACAAGTCACTGGTTCAAGTCCAGGAACTATCCCAAAATTGGCAGGCAACACAGCAGGTCACTGAGATGAAGACTTGGCCAAATTCAGAGTTCAGATGTGCCAAAAGCTAGAGACCTTTCTCAAAGCTTCTCCTTATATACTGGAAGCAGGCCACACCCTAAATGCAACTACTTAGCTGCTCACAGCAGATTCCACCATCAAGGTGATTACAATCTCATCACGGGGAAAAATTACTTCTAGCTGCCCAGGCATTGAAAACCACAGGCCCAGCAAGTTGATACACAACCTTAACTACCACAGGCATTACTCACTGGCACAACAAAATTAAGAAAAAAGACAGAAAAAGTGAATTCATTTATACATAGAGAAAAGAGATAGTTAAGTGCCTACATGTGACAGCCATTAAGCATACCACACTAAGCTAAATAGACGTGGTCACTACTTTTATGGAACTAATAGTCTTTCAGTGTAGACAATCATTAAGTGATCAACCATGCACATTACTATACCCTGAAAAGTGCTATAAGAGCACCTAACCTGGTCTGTAGCGCTAAGTAATTAGTCTTGAGGAAGTACTATCTCAGCTGGGATCTGAAGACTGAAGGTAAGATAGTGCTCTTCATGAAAAACAAGCCTAGGGAAAAAGTGTGATGAGTAAGTTTTGTGCAGGAAGATGTCTTATTTTTGTACTTTACTCAGGACAGGAGCTCCAGTGGCACAGTGGTGAAAGCATTTAGCTGCTAACCAAAAGGTTGGAGGTTTGATCCTGCCCACCACTCTGTGGGGGAAAGAGGAGGCAGTCTGCTTCTGTAAAGATTTACAGCCTTGGAAACCCTATGGGGCAGTTGTTCTCTGTCCTATAGGGTCGCCATGAGTTGGAATCTACACAATGGCAGTGGTTTTTGGTTACTCAGGATGCAAAAGAAGGAATGGCCTAGTAAGAGGAGGAAGTATTCATACATGGATGTCAGGCTAACATGCTTTCTGTCCAGGTCATTGAGCCTATGAAAATGGAAATCTGCTATGGTCGCTGTCAGTTACTCTAGGTGAGGGAGAACCTGTTTTTTTTTTTTTTTTCTTTCATTTGTGCATTTTCCACGTCCTACAGTAGGTTCTTCATCTTCTCTTCCATCCTGCCCCAGAGTCATCAATCATTTGATGGTTCATGCAGTCTGGTAAGGAAATCAAAGCTGAAATTCAGGTCTCAAAATTCTTCTCACCTTTTGAAAATTTGTTAATTTGCTAATTTTCATGCAAATGAACTTCTAAATAATTTGAGCCCTTCCTGTGAATCTGAGAGTGCATTTTCTATTGGGTTGTAAGGTTTAAAGAAAACTTTACACATAACCTATATTTAACAATTGTTATTTCTGACTAGACAGTATAGAACAGCAAATTTGGTTGGGGAGCAGCAAAAGGAGGCAGGGCAGAGAAAATAAGAAGATGCTTTACATACATTATCTTATATATTCTTCACATTAATCCTGGGAGATAGGTAGTATTATTCCCGTGTTATTTGAGGAATCATGAATAGGTTAAGAAATTTGCTTAAGATTCCATAATTAGTATGTGGCAATGTGGTGTCTATAGATCCTAAAGTCATAATTTTACCACCGCATTACACACTCTGTGAAAAGAGTGAATTAGTTTATGTCCAAGGTTTGGCATAGTAGGCCTCCCCGATAAAGTAGTCTACTCTACCTATAGTTAAGTGGACAGGCTCTGGAGTCTGCCTTAGGCCTTTCTCTGGTCCTGAGAGGACCGTCCCACTCAAACTGAGTATCTGTTCACTCTAGTCCATACTATGTCTTCTGGGATCCCTGTACACAAAAGTCTTGTTCTAAGAATTAAGAGGAGATACAAAGGAAGAATAATAAATTCTTTCCACAAATAATTGTTGAGAATCTACTTAAGACAGACCTAGTTCTAAGCACTGGGAATGTTCCCATTTAGTAGGAAATGTAGAATACACACAAATACTTTCCATTTAACTAACGGGAAAAAATGAACATACAACTAAAATAATTTTTTCTGACACACACCTTTTTCACCTTTTTCTTTAGGAGGCTGACTAGTGTGCTGCGCCATCTGAATACCAACAGGTGTGGTGCCTGGGAAAGAATCATAGCATCACATGACCAACAACTCACACTATTATTGTTACTACTGACAATTTTATAAACTCTCTTCAACAGGCCTGACTGTTCCAATTTTCATGGCCAAACTTAAGTGACTTGTTATTCGTATTTGTTAAGTGCCATCAAGCCGATTTTAACTCACAGAGACCCCATGAGTTACAGAGTAGAACTGCTCCACAGGGTTTTCTTGGCCATAATCTTTACAGTAACTGATCACCAGCTCTTTCTCCCGCCAAGATGCTGGATGGGTTTGAACAATTACTGCTCTTGAGTTGTTCTTGTTCTCACAGTCCCTTCACTAGTTTGGTAAACAGTTGTTTCTATTATTATTGCTTCCTCTATGGAATTGACTTGATGGAAATGGGTTTGGTTTTTCTGGTTTTTTATTCTGGAGGAAATAGTAATTTCACTAAACCCAAACATTAAGAATGGACCACAACATCTTCACAAAAGGCAGCCTCAATTACTCTCTGCCTCAACAGGGTGTTCTCTCCATGCTTAATTTTTGCAGCATCAATCCTTTCTCTAGCCCGTGGGAAATTAAAAAACTCCGGCTCCCGTCATCTCTAACGGTCCGGCAGAGCGAATGAGGACTGGAGGGAAGGGAAGGGAAATGGACGTGGAGGAAAAAAAAAAAAAAACCACCTCAAAGCACGAGAGGGAATCTTGAAAAGATGTTTTAAGTAACGGGGAAAACGCAAGCCATCACCTTCCGGTACCACTCACAGCCTCAGTAGAACATTTACCTAAAAAAGGGAAACCACCACACAAAGCAACGAGTCCAGAAGCGACGAACCACAACTCCCAGCGTGCCCTGAAGAAAGGAACGTTACTGCCCAGTCCTACAGGATTACTACTCCCATCTCACCCGCTTCAAACCGGTTTACGGGACTACCACTCCCATCTCACCCGCTTCAAACCGGCCAGGTCTTTCCTCAATGGCCGGCTGAAGTCCCGCCCTTCTCTTCCTCTCTCCTGTTAAAGCCAGAACAAAAGAAAAGAAACTGGAATGTCTTCCTTGACCTTCACGGTCCCAAAAGAGCCGAAGTACAAATCACAGCTTCATGACCTCACCTGCAGTTTTAATTCCAAACTTCAAACCCCCACACCCTCCCCAGTAGTTGCTGCTCATGCGCAGTGGGATACCAACCAACGGTCGGAGCCTTGGCGCTTGCGCTGAACATCTCACCGCACGCGGCCTGGCGCGGCCGTCCTAGTGCGCAAGCGCCTGTGCCCTCCCATTTCCATCATCGCGCTCTCTCTACCTAGCTTGCCTTGCCGGTCTTGCGTAGGGGGCGGGACTAAGAATGCCAATTGGTCTGTTTTCGTGCTAGTCAAGGAAGTGGGCGCGGTGATTGGAGGCGGCCCAGAGGGTAGTGTGTTTCGCTGTAAGCCTTGAGGAGGTAGCGTTTTCTGGGCTTCTCCCTGGTTTTCTCTCTCCAGAAGGTTCTGCCAGTTCCTCCAGCTCAGGGTACCCGGTTCTGCATCACGCCGCCATGATGGGCCATCGTCCGGTGCTCGTGCTCAGTGAGTTCTGGGAAAGCTGGGGAAGGGTTCCCTTTTCGCCCTTATCCCTCCACACTTTTCAGTGTTGCCCAATCAGCCCCATCCCGCCCTGGCCCGGCAACTGAGTCTCCTAGCCATCGACCTCCTTTAGGAAGCCTTTTCCTTCGCTTTTTTCTCTTCCCTTTATTCATATCACGCTTTTTACAAACGCAACTGATACTTTGCCTCTCCGAGCCCCTTTCTGTGGACTTAGTAGGCTCCTTCTCACTCCTTGCGCGGCTGCTCCCCACCCCTCCGTTCATACTCGCTTCCGTAACCCCCTTTTCTGTGTGTTATAGCTGAATGAATAATGGTTTTTTTTATTAAGCCCATCCCTTATTGGCGGCGTGGCTTTGGGCAAATTGTTAAGTGTTTCCATTGATATTAATGAGGTTAGTATCTCTTCATAGAATTGTAAGGATTAAATAAGTGGATAAACTGTTCGAAAGAGAGTCTGGCAAATAGTGGGTAGTATCCTTGGTTACTTTCAATTACTTATTTTCAATTACAGGTCCTCTTGAATTTCCATTCCTGAAGTGCCCCTGCTTTCCTCTCAGGTCTTCACGTGTAATCATTCCCCCAGTGACCCCTGCATTGTGTAATCTGTCCACTAACGAACTTGAGTTTTCCCAGAATTACAGGACTGGTTCTCTTTACTCTTTGGGAATACTCCTGATTTCTTTCTGACCATTGAGCACTACCTTCCTTGTCTACCCCTGGTATGTTTCCATTCTCTGTACCCTATATGCACCCTATTAATACCCCATCTGCAGGACCGGTTAAAATGCCTCACTAGCCATTTTCTAACCCTTTCCATCTTCTGTATACAGAATGTTGTTCAGAGTTCTCATAAGTTTTTCTCCATATCTGGGAAGTAACTATTTTCAGAATTTTTTTCTTTCTCTTTTTAAAAAAAAAAAAAAATTTCTTTTGATGGATTGTAGACCATGCAGGTTTTTAAGAGTTACCAATGCCTGATATAGTAATGTAAATTCTGAGGATTGGGAGGTTTAGATTTGATGAGACTAGATTGAAGGAAAGACAGATTTAAATGATAGGGAAAACTATAATTTGGAACAGGGAAAGAAATAGCATTATGTTGGGTTAGTTATAACCATTGCCTTGCCTTAATCACCATTAAGAAGGCCCTGAGGGAGAAGGAAGGGCTGCTTATGCACAGGGAAATAGCTCAGGGTGCAGAAGAGGATGAAGGGATGGACACTGGGAGGAGGTAACTGTGGGGAGGAAGTGGGCGGGGAGCTGCTGCATTGTAAATTTTGGTCAATGACATGAGACAAAGTATATGTGAACTGCTGTATG